CCGATCCTCCAGCACTGCTCGACTGGTCCCACCACCCCTCAAGGCACAAGGAAGACACACCTCCCGACTCTTCTCTGTTCTGGCACCAAGTTGGTGGAATGAACTCCCCCTACAGTAGATGTCCGAACAGCTGAGTCACTGAATGTCTTCAAAAGACGACTTAAAACACCTTTTCCAGAAATACCTGAATTAGCACTTCTGGCATTATAGTTGCATTACTAAAAAAAAAAAAAAAAAAGCACTTTTCCAACAGAGTATTAGATCGATGGTGTTCATAGCCTTGGTTTTTACTGAGCTAGTATCGGGAAAAATTCATTGTGTAGTCTTAAAGCACTTATGTAAGTCGCTCTGGCGAAGGGCGTCTGCCAAATGCTGTAAATGTAAATGTGCTTGTAAGTCATTCCAGTTAAAAGTTATGAGCATTTGACAAGGCCTAGCTCCTTTTTCCCCAAGTCAGAGTCCCGGCAATACGTGTTGCTGCATCTCTGATTCTCAACTTTCATTCTCAGTTTTTTTTCTGAGGGACCGTTGGCTCCAGAGACTTGGAATTTGGTAGACGTGGCTCTCAGGCTATGCCCATTCAGAATCTGCAAGTCCCCGGTCTCCAAGTCACTGCATTGTCTAAGTGGCCACCGGGTGGCACTAGGGCAACGGGGCTAAGTGCATCCCAATCCCATTTCCACACTAATGCCTAAGCTAAGGTTTCTTGGGTATTTTAACCGTACCCAGATTTGCTAAGTAAAATTACAGATTTCACGGTTAGGGTTACAGCATGTGGTCAGGGGAGAGGGGTTAGGGAAGGGGGTTAGGAACCCCAGAGCCTGCGACCCCAGCGTCCCAGGGCCACAGTAATGCACGGGCCAATCTGTGCATCCACCCGCTTGCACCCCACACATCATCCCTTTGGTTGGGACTTGTTTATAAATTTTAGTTTGTTTAGGGGGCGATGGAGAGAAGATCCGAGGAGAATCCAAGACACCAGGACCAACCGGAGGAACAGCAGGAGGAACGACGCCATCAGGTAGTTATTTGCCCTTAAACTTGACTTTTACTTGTCATCTATCCCTTTTCTAGGTTTCACAGTGTTGAACCCATCAACACTGGCCTCCGGGAATCTGGAGCCCCACCGTGGCATCTTATCCCCCCTAGA